ATGAAGGGTTCATGAGGGAGGGGGAAGTAGGGAGGCAGGGAGGGAGAAAAATGAGCAGCTGATATAAAGGGCTCAAGTAGAAGGCAAATGTTTTGAGAATGATGATGGCAACAAATGTACATATGTGCTTGACACCATGGATGTATGTATGGATTGTGATAAGAATTTTATGAGCCCCCAATAAAATGATTTTTAAAAAGAAGAAGAAAAGAAACCAAAGCACTGCTCTGCTGTTTCTTCAGCAACAGGAACGGAAGGCTCTCGTGCTGGCTAGCTGGGGGCTCTCCAGCCCTTCCCGGTTCCTGCTGCCATGTCCATGGCTGTCCTTTTCTTTCTTTGCGTTTTCACCTTTTCAATGTCACTGACTCTTCCCTTCAACAAGATATTCAAGTTATTTTTTTTTTAAATCGGAGAGAACCAGGGAGCCCCCTTGACCCCAAACCCCCAGTTGTACCATTTCTCTTCACCTTCAGAAACTATCCCCTGGCCGAGGCCATTTCTGGTTGGATAGCTCAGGAGGCTTCACATGGCAGTGCCAGCCTCAGGCAGGATGGAGCACTGGGTCAGCCTGCTCCTAACTGTGTGTCCTTGACACATAGTCTCAATCTGTATATCTCATTAATCATTAAATAGGAGGGTGTATCAAGTTGTTATGCATGGTGCATGAACTCATGTTTGTAATGGATTTACCACACTCTTGTTGTTGGCCGTTGTTGAGCCCATTCTAACTCACAGTGACCCCATGTGATAGAGAAAAACTGTCCCCTGTGGTTTTCTTGGCTATCATCTTTATGAAAGCGGATCTCCAGGGTTATGTCCCTCAGATCCGCTGGTGTGAGTTTAACTGCCAACCTGTTAGGTGGCCCCACCGAGCTCCTTACTTGGCTGCTGCATGTGGTCCACATACTTTGGACATGTTACCAGGAGACGCAAGGAACTGGTCCAAAGTATGTGACACAAAGTCTCACCAGTCTGTCTTCGAAGGCGCATGCTGGCTCTATTTCATCCCAGATGGACGTGTTTGTTCTGGGAGGCCACCGTACTTTCAATATTCCTCACCGACACCACCATTCGAAAGCAGCAGGTCTTCTTCGGCCTTCCTTATTCGATGTCCAACTTTCACACGCACAGGAGGCTATTGGAAACCCCATGGTTGGGCCGGCGCACCTTCATCCTCAGGGTGACATCTACTCCTTTTTCAGTTCCTGGTGCCTTTTCTAGACTTCGGCACGGCGAGCAGTGCATGGCTCATTCCTCTCCCTCATCTTCTATGCTGACTCACTGCTCCAGGGATCTCCTCAAGCTCACAACTTCTGGCACCATCCATGGAAGAATGGCTCTCACATTTACATACCCCGCTCACACTCACCTGAACTCCCGCTACATTGCTTCTCGACGTAGGGATCCGAACAGCCATCTCGAATTCAGACATCCAAAGTGGAATGTCCAGTTTTCACTTTTATGTATTTATTTATTTTTTATAAATCATTTTATTGGGGGCTCCTACAATACTTATCACAATCCATCCATCCATCCATGGTGTCAAGCACATTTGCACATTTGTTGCCATCATCATTCTTAAAACATTTGCTTTCCGCTTGAGCTCTTAGTATCAGCTCATTTCCGCCCCCTCCCTCCCTTCCTCACAGACCCTTGATAATTTAGAAATTATTTATTTTTCATGTCTTACACTTCACTCTTCACCCACTTTTCTGTTGTCAGTCCCCCAGGGAGGGGGTTATATGTAGATCATTGTGATAGGTTCTCCCTTTCTCCCCCACCTTCCCCTTACTCCCCTGGTATCGCTATTCTCATTATTGGTCCTGAGGGGTTTATCTGTCCGGGATTCCCTGTGTTTCCATGATTTTCACTTTTAAAGAATCTGCTTTCCCCATAGTTTTCCCAACAGCTGATGGTAACTCTACCCTAGCAATTACATCTGAAGATGTCACAATGACCTATGACTTTCAAATCACTGGTACTTCATGTTCAGCCGCCAGGAGTCCTGGTGGCTCTCCGGCTTCAACTCTATCCACTCCTCAGGCACTTCCACGACCTCCATTGCTACAAGCGTGGATTGAACTACCATTAACACCTCTCATCTGGAATTCTATGACAAGGAGTCCTTAATAGGTCTCCTTGACTCTACTTTTAATATGCTGATTTTCCCCTCTGCTATTCACAAGTTCAATATTAAAATTACTTAGTTGAAGATTAAAACAGCTCCTTTTTGATACAGAGGCAAATGTGGTGAAGAAAGCTGATGGTGACCGGCTTATAGAACATATAGCTTCTGGGGTCTTAAAGGTTTGCAGATAAACAAGAGGCTATCTAGTAGGGAAGCAACAAAGCCCACATGTATAAAGCACACTAGCCTGTGCGATCACGAGGTGTCAACAGGATCAGGGATCAGGCATCAGAAGACCCAAAACAAACAATCATATTGATGCAAACGAGGAGGATTGGAAACCCCAAACCCATCTGTAGACAATTGGACATGCCCTCACAGAAAGGTCACAGGAAGGGAAGAGCCAACCAGGTGCAATACAGCACCAATGAAATACACAACATTCCTCTAATTCTTTAATGCTTCATCCCCACCACTATCATGACCCCAGTTCTAGCTTACAAATCCGGCTAGACCATAGCTTATACACTGGTACAGAGAAGAGCTCTCGATACACAGAATCCAGGGCAGATAAACCCCTCAGGGATTATAATGGGAGTAGCAATACCATGAAGATGGGGGGAGAAGGGGGGGAAAGGAGGAACCAATCACAATGATGGATGTATAACACACACCCCAAACTGGAGGGGGGTGAACAACAGAAACATGGGTGAAGGGAGACAACAGTGTAAGATATGAAAAAATAATTTATAATTTATCAAGGGTTCATGAGAGTGGGAGAGTGGGAGAGGGAGGGAAAAAAGAGGAGCTGATACCAAGGGCTCAAGTAGAAAGAAGATGTTTTGAAAATGATGATGGCAACATAGGTACAAATATGCTTGATACAAGTGATGTATTGATTGTTATAGGAACTGTAAGAGCCCCCAATAAAATTACAGCTATAGATATATAAACAGCTCCATTTAAAAAAGTCTATCTTAAAGTAACATTACTGATAGAGTTGGCTGATGGGATAGACTGGGTGATCATCTTTATTAGACATTACGATATCAGTGTTACACACAATGTTCACATACCCACAGGGAACTCTTTCATAAATGTACTGAGCTAGAAGGAACCTAAAAACAAAACAAAACAAACAACAACAAAAACCCCAGCTAACGATGAGTCAATTCTGACTCACAGCAACCCTGAAGGGCAAGGTAGAACTGCCCCTGTGAGTTTTCGAGGCTACAGCTCTTTACAGGCAGGAGTAGAAAGCCTCATCTTTCTCCCTTGGAGCAGCTAGTGGTTTCAAACTGCTGGCTTTGTGGTTAGCAGCCCAATGTGCAACCATTAAGCCAAGAGACTGTCAATTCTTTTCAGATACAGCCTGGCAACTAGACCTTGGGAGAGCCTAGATTCATAGGATCAGCTGATGGCCGAGGAAGCAGTCTGATACCTGTACAGGCGATCGAAGCCAGAAGAAATGAGCAATCATGACTCAGAGTGCCCGCAGCTCAGTAAAATGCAAGAAGGACCGGGCATTATTCCATTAGCAATTAATCCTTCGGCCTGTGTTATGTGGCGTGAGCACTGAATGGGCTTGGCCATTAATTCAAAGTGTAGAGGTTCAAGTTCACCCAGAGGCTGAGGATCCACCTTCAAACCATGAATTCTCATGGACTTGATGGCAACTGGTGGTGATTCTGCAAAAAGCCATTCAACATGGCAAATGGAAACTTACCCCATTTATGATCACTCAAGTGTTTTTGCCTTAGCAGGGGTTCAGAAAAAGCTACCAAGCCAAGGAGAAAATCACAGCTGCACCCAACCCTTCTCATTGCTCACAGCCCCCAGCCACCCTCTTCAGCATGGATGACCGACAGAGGACAGCCCACTCACTCCAATTCTCCAGCAGGTGTTTGCAGTCATCTGTGGCGACGTCATGTACAGTCCGATTGCACTTGTCTTTCCTTTCGGGCTCCAGCCCTCCGTGACGACACAAGATCTCTAGGCAGTTCTGTGAAGACAAGAGCCCTGTCACTTACAGCACCCTGTGAATTAGCCGGCTCAAGACATCCAAGCCAATCAGGAACTCACAGCTCAAAATGTATTGCAATGCCAGCCATCCCAATAGACAAATTAATCTAAGCAATTGTGGTCAGTGGAGGGACCGGATGAGAATGTCACGCAGCCAAATCATCCACGCTCACGATTACAGGTCTGGAACGCTGACTCTGGTGGGGGAAGGCTGTCAGAGTGATGAGATATAAATAAATTTTAATATATATTCTCATGACTGGACACAGTCCCTCAATAACCCCCCATAAAGGGGCTACCATATAACATAAATCATTTGTGTCTGGCTACTTCAAAATGCCTAAAGGTTATCTGTAGATAAAAGCAATCAGGTTCTATAGCCTACCCACCATAAATGTAGCGACTCCCTGGGGAGGGCTCAGGGGGGTTTGAGGTCAACTGGTACTAGGTCAAGATGATGACTCCCTTCACTGCTCGTCGATTCTGTTATTCATTTATGATATCCCCATCGACTTGGTAACAAGTTAGCTGTATGGCGTGCATGTCTAATGAAAGGTCTGTAAGCCCCATCACACAGACCCAGTGGATATTACAGTCTTTCTCTCAGTCCTGACATGGGACAAAGGGCTCCTGGGCCCCGCTGTCTGTCTGTCTGTCTTTAGTATTTTCCACAATCCCAAAGTCACTCCTGAAGACCCGTTCGAGTGTTGGGGGCCACCCTCTCACCCCGACGATGTCTAGAAATGAAAAGCACAGAACACTTCATTTAAAAACTGAGCCTTAGGATAAAAAAGACTGTGTTGCACAGAACAGCCTTTTAGGTTCGCCTTCCCCTAAAATTGTTAGTTTACTAATCACTCAGTTTTGGAGGGAAAAATAAAGAAAACATTGGCGTCAGCAGGCAAGATCCTTTCTTGGTAGCTTGGCATTAAAAGCCAAAAAGATGTTCACTACAGCTGTCTTCTAGATCAGAGTTGTTAACACCTTGCTGTGGGTTAAGTGCTGGACTCCATATTAATAAGGATGTCCTGAGGCCTGTTGAGCACATTGATATTTCATATGCACACTGTCCTATTTGTTATTGGAAAAACATGAACACTGTACTGAAGGAGCTTTTAGAAAAACATTCCCAACAGATGTTGAAAACTGTGTGCCTTCGCTTTTTTTCAACTTTTTTCTCTTCTGTGTTGCTTAACAAAGGCTCCATTAAATATATATATCAATGATCTGGGGTCAGGAAATCTTAGTTCTCCTTTTCTCCCCACAAATGCAAAGTAGCAGACAATATGAAATGCGTACTGTTCTAAGAAATAATTGTGTAGCAGGATCCCAATCAGGACATTTACCAGCCAATGTTTACCGCGTCACAGTGTGCTTAAGATACACACACACAAGCAGTCTGACGAAAGAGAAGCCCAGGCAACTTACACACACACACACACACACACACAGCGGCAGAAAGCCTTATATGCACACATACATGATCAGACAAGACAGGAAAGCAGGCAGTCTAGGAAGCCTTACACTCCTACCCCCATCCTCCACACATGGCCAGACAAGACAGGAAACCATAAACACACACACAGAGTCAGACAAGACAGGAAATCCGACACACACACAGTCAGACAAGACAGGAAACCAGGCTGTCTTGGAAGCCTTATACTTAACACACACACACACACAAACACACACACACACACACACACACACACGCGCGCGCGCGCGCGCGCCCAAGCGCGCGCCCACCATCTGACAAGACAGGGAATCAGGAAATCTGGACAGACTTCTAACTCTTGCTATAAAACATCCTGATGCTGCATAAATGATCAAAACTACATTTTCTTTTTTTATATAATTTTTTACTGAAATATAATATACGGATCTAAGAGCTTACACATAAGCAGCTTGAAGCATTATTACAAAGTGAACAAACTTGTGTAAGAAGCACATCAGGGGCCCCTTTTTACAGATCCTCTTAATCACTAGATTTCCTTTCTGCCCCGGAGGGACCTACTTCCCATTTCGATGATCAGAGATGGGCTTCGCCTTTCAGGACCTCGATATAAGGCAGAGACATTACTACGTAAGAGGAATCCCACTGCAGGTATTTCTTTCTATGTGATTTCCTTCCTTCGGCACTGCCGATAACATCCCTCTAGGTGCTCTCTTTGGCATACACCACAATTTAGGATCCATTCTCCTGCTGATAGACATTTGGATTCTAGGAAAAGACCTCTGGCGTGCACTTGTCTGCGTTTCTGTCGGGCATATGTACCAGAGTTGGACTGCTGGGCTGCAGGGTACACATATGGTCTATGTTAATAAACCTGAAAAGCATTTTCTTAAGTGGTTATACCAATTTCTACCCCCCAACCCCCGTCTGTAGTATACAGGCTTCAGTTGCTTCATATTGACCGCCCCCGCCCCCCCAATTCCCACCCCCACATAACCATACACCCTCCCAAACATACTCTTAGATGCAAGCATGAGTTCACCCGAAAGAAGCAGAAATCCCCAAGGGCTGGAAAGAAAAACAACGAGTATCCTGGAACCAGGAGGATGGTGCTGGTTTGAAGGCAAAGAGGAAACAGAGCCCGTGCATTAAATTACATGGTGGGGAGAGGGAGGCTGACAAAATGGGGAGCTGAACCTGGGGGCTCTGACTAACGTAGAGAACGTAGGGAACGTAGAGAAAAGTTGCCTGCTTACAAAGGCGGTCACTGAGACACCTGTTTCTCATTGGCCTGCTCGGGTTGGAGGGATCTCCTTTGAAAATGAATCCAAGTCTGCCTTTCCTGGTCCTGGGGTTCAGATGTAAGAAATCACTAACCTAAGAGTTAACTGGAAAGAAAGCCAAATATATAAATAACAGTTGTTATCTAGCAGTCGTTGCTACTGATTTAACTGAAACCAGTAAATGAGTCTGATGGCTAAGGAGAAACGCAGGCAATGTTGATGGAGAATTTAATACCAATAAGAAGACTAAACAGACTGCAATCGAATAGACTGCATGAAACTTGTGAATTCCCAAGAGAGAAAAATAACATCCTTTTAGGCAGGCTAGTACTCGTAGCAAAAGTGAGTAATCACCAAACAGATTTAAATCTTGCTGATAGAAATTATTATATGACCTTTGGTAAACCATTGAACATTTTTATTTATGGCTTCCATTTCCATATAGGTGGATGTATGACTTAAAAGATGCACACAAACCTTACTCTTGGCATTTGCTGAACTCTCAATATTTATTAGCTGCAGTAATTATTATAATCAACATCATTAGAAAATAACCCAATGATTCAGCTAAGTGAAGAGTTATGACAGCCTTTCAACGAACACCACTGATCTCTCTCTCGAGATACTTCTAGGTGATGGTATTTCAAACTGTGATTATAAATGACTTTCAAAAACCCACAACAAATGCCTGCAGTTTTCCTGCATAGAGATTCTTTCATTTCTCATTTCAAAGTGGTTACTTCTAATTTTCATTACACTCAGGGCAGCGGTTAGTATCATCAATAGTGACTTTAGCGTTCAGGAACCATGAAATGTCCATCCCCAAGAGGGGTACCATGTGTCACCATGCTTTCTACAGAGCTGTCCTGCGCCCCAAGGGGACCAATCACAAAGAATATGAAAATTTTAACTCAAGTGAACAAAGAGGTTGTTAAAGTGACGGCAACAATTGAGCACATTCTGAATTCCAGGCACAGACTTAACATTTTACAAGTATTGCATAATGCTCACAATCATTTTCTGAAATTTCGGCTAGGCACCTCTGTCGGGGTTGTGATGACGGCCAAGGTCGCAGTGCTATTTCACAGAGTCCCCGGTGGCTCAGTGGACAGGAAAGACGTGGCAGCCTGCTTCTATAAAGACTTGCAGCCTTGGAAACCCTAGGAACCAGCTCTTCTCTTACAGCGTTGCTATGAGTAGGAATTGACTTGACAGCGATGGGTTGCTGTGTTGTGTTTGTTTGTTTCCTGTTATCAGGTAGGAATCCAAAGTGTAGCAAAGGGTTAAGACATGGGCAAAAGCCAGGTAGAAAAGGTTGTTGCACTCTCAAACGTGCAATACATGGAACAAGGGAAAGAGTGGGGGGAAAGGGCTCGTTGGGGAGGAAAGGTAGAAAAGTAAAGAAGCTCTCTTTTAAGATGTGCGGCTATAGGACGTGGGCAAAGTTGTTGCTAGGTACTGTTTCTGGAAATGCACCTCAGGGCACTTCCACTGTGAGGGGATGCTCCCAAGTGCTGTGGTACAGTGCATCCAGGTGAAGGAATGAATCCAGCCAACATTCTTAGATTAATAGGATATAAGTTTGCCTTTGATAACAAAGCCTTAAATAGAGTGACAGCTTAAACTATATCTTTCAATATAGGTACATGAGCAGTTACTTTCAATGGAGGCTAGAGAATTAAGTCTTCATTTGGGATGGGCATGGGCCCAGTTGAATCCTGAAGTACCCATTATTGTAAAGAAAGAGGGAACATACGTTCAGGGGTGGTGAGAAATGTGTGTCGGGGTCTTGAGGGAGAGCTGAGAAGCAAGACTAATGCCAAGGAGACGAAGCAGAAACACCAAGTTCCAAGGGCTGGTGATAAAATCAAAATCGTGGAAGGGAGCCAAGTGGAGAATTGGGCAGAGAGAGAAAATACAAACAGGTGGGGGGGAGGGGTGCGGTGTACGCACTGTTTTCCCCCAAGGGTGGGTGGGAGGGAGAGGGTATGGGAGATGGTAGCCATTATACTGGGAAATAATGACCTAAGCAGACAGGTGTATTTAAATGTGAGTGGTCAAAGATGAAGTCAACACTGTGAAGAACTAAGTGCTAAGGAGTTTTGATGCTTTTCCAGAGCCGTGGGGGTGGGGTGGGGGTTGTATGAGGAGCCGAGTACCATGACTTTAGAACTCTGTTCTAGAAGCGACTGATGCAGAAGGAAGAGCCTCTGGAGAAGAGGGTGAAGGAAGTGAGACCCGGTG